TCACAACAAAATTTCACTCTGTTGCTGAGTGGAGTGCAGTGGCACAATCACAACTCACTGTGGCCTTGACCTCCCAAGAGATTCTCCCACTTTAGCCTCCCAAATAGCTAGGACTTCAGGTATACACTACCAGGCCTGGTTCTCCCACCTAAGCCTCCCAAAGTGCTGGGATTGCAGGCCTGAGCCACTGCACCCAACCTTTTTTGCCGCTTCCATTTCCACATACATAGATCTAGAGGGGACATCTAATGGTCTCAGGGCCCACTGCTAACCTATAAAACCAACTTCTATCACACTGCCCTTTGCTAATCCCTTTTCTGCGTTAGCCCATCTGCACCCAGGTGAATAAACAGCAGTCTTGCTCACACAAAGCCTGTTTGGGGCGTCTCTTCATTCAAAGCACACTTTGTTAATAGTTTCTTTATGCGTTTTGATAAAGAGACGTGTGGTTTGGACACCTGGAGGCTGTAGGAACACTCACCACCAAGTGATAAGACTCCCATGGGGGATGATTTGATCACAGAGTGGGCAAACCAATGTTGAGTCACCCACCAGCCTTGGGGAAATATCCTTGCAACAAGGTGCAGTATGGAAACATTGCACAGCCTGATCCCATGGTGTTTCCCACTTTTTAAGAGCCTGGGATTCAGCGTAAAAATGGCATCCTGGATTTCTGGTTTTCTTGGTGCTCTCCTTCCAGCTGCACCTGCTTTTCACATATACTAGTATTAGGCCCTAGAAACTGCAAATGCTTTGTTGGCCCATAATTTTTTAATGGGCTTCATCCTGAGCTTAGCTATTCAGTTAAGAAACAGAAACTAAATTTTAAAACCATGTATCTAACAAGATCAGTCTCCAAAATATGGCTTTCTGGCATTCAGTTGATTATTTGGAAAAGGTTTTTGAATTTTCTCTAGGCTTATCTGTATGTTTCCTTGTAAAATATACAATAAATTCCTATGACTTTGAATTACCTTGGCACCCACGTTTAATCTTCCTCTAACACAACCAACCCCTTGAAAACCCTTACATTCTTTCTCTTTACATCGAAATGTAAATTTGCTACCCTGTTTTCTCTAAAACTAGGGAAAGGCATTGGCCATGCAAGACAGAGATAAACTTTAATTTGTTCCATTTACAGAGGCACAACTTAACTTGTCTTTTATTTTTTACCTAGTGAGTTTTAATCTGGGCACAGTGGCATGGGCCTATAGTCCCAGCTACTTGGAGGCTGAGGCGGAAGGATTGCTTGAGCTCAGAAGTTTGAGGTTATCACGTTCAACATGGTGAGACCATATCTCAAATAAACAAATAAAATAGTGAGTTTTACATATCTCATTGCAAAATTTTAAAAAGTCAAAGCTGTTAAATCTGTATGTCTGTATTTTATTTTTAATTTATTGGTTTTTTTGAGACAGAGTCTCACTCTGTTGCCCAGGCTAGAATGCAGTGGCATGATCTTGGCTCACTGCAACCTCCACCTCCTAGGTTTAAGCAATTCTCATGCCTCAGCCTCTTGAGAAGCTGGAACTACAGGAATGCACCATGCATCATGCAGTGGCATGATCTTGGCTCACTGCCTCAGCCTCCCAAGTAGCAGGTGCGTGCTATCATACCCAGCTAATTGTTGTATTTTTAATAGAGACAGAGTCACACCATATTGGCCAGGCTGGTCTCAAACTCCAGACCTCAAGTTATGCCTCAGCCTTCCAAAGTGCTGGGATTACAGGCATGAGCCACCATGCCCGGCAATTTATTAATTTTTGAGACAATGTCTCACTTTGTCACCCAGGCTGGAGTGCAGTGGTGTGATTATAGCTCACTGAAGCCTCGACTACCTGGGCTCAAGTGATCCTCCTGTCTCAGCTTCCTGAGTAGCTAGGACCACAGGCACACACCACCACAACCTGGCTAATATTTTTTGTATAAGTGGGGTCTTGCTATGGTGCTGAGGCCAGTCTTAAACTCCTGCACTCAAGCGATACTTCTGCCTCAGCCTCCCAAAGGGCTGAGATTACACGGCATGAGCTACCACACCTGGCTCTCTATTTTAAGTAAAACATTTTTTTATTTTTAAATTTTTTTTTAGGGACAACATCACACTATATTGCCCAGGCTGAACTCCCACCTCAGCCTCCTAAGTTGCACCACAGGGACACGCCACCACACCTGGCTGTTTGTCTGTATTTTTAATGTATACGTAATATTTGCATATTGTCTACAGGGTACCAAATCAACCTGTACATAAATGAGCACTCATAAAGTAAATAGCCCAAATGCTTTTCAAATTCACATAACTTGAGTAATCTCTATTAAGTAAAGCTAGGTTTTAAATTGCTGGTAAAATAAAATAGAAATATCTTCAAACTGTTAGGCATTTGTGCTTGAGTATACTGGTCAGACAAATGTATGCTATCTCTGCTAGATGTTTTAAGGTAATGAAACTGCTGCTTCTGTGATATTTTTGATATTTTCTTGATTTATCTATAAGCTTATATCTTTGGTTTTGAGTTGTTAGATTCTGTAGCCTAGATAGGTGGCCATGATAAGGCCTGAAGACATATGTACATCCACAGCACTTAGGCCACCAGTACAGGATTTGACTCTTTCTAGCGTGGCCCAGCTGTGTCTTCTGGCCTTGCTAGAAAGAGCCAGATATAGGTGATGGGGAGGAAGGCAGCAAATCACACTGCCATGTGTGTACCTATGCAACAATCTTCTTGCATGCTCTTCACATATACCCCAAAACCTAAAATACAATAAAAATAATAATAATACAAAATTAGCTGGATGTGGTGGCACAAACCTGTAATTCCAGCTACTTAGGAGGCTGAGGCAAGAGAATCACTTTAACTTGGGAGGTGGAGGTTGCAGTGAACCGAGATAACACCATTGCACTCCAGCCTGGGCCACAAGAGCGAAGCTCCATCTTGGGAAAAAAAAAAAAGAGTAGAGATTCTGCAACCAGACTGCCTGGATTCAATGCTCACCTTACATTAGCTCTGTGACATTGAGCAAATTATTAGGCCCATGTGCCTCAGTTTCCTCATGTGTGAAATGGGGATGATAATAATAGTACTTACTTCATAGGGTTATTGAGCAAATTAAATGCGTTAATACATTTAATTTTTTTAGATAGGGTCTCACTCTGTAGCCCAGGCAGAAGCTCAGTGGCACGATCAGGGCTCAGTGCAGCCTTGACCTCCCAGGCTCAGGTGATCCTCCCACCTCAGCCTCCAAAAAAAAATAAAGAGTCAAATCCTCCAGGCACTGTCTTGACTGCTCCATCCTCTGTGCTGGGCTCTGCATCTGCTACAAAACAATCAAAATTGCTTGGCCCAGCACAGTGACTCACTCACACTGGTAAAGCCTAGCCAACATGGTGAAACCGCATCTCTACTGAAAATACAAAAATTAGCCAGGCATAGTGACACACACCTGTAATCCCAGCTACTCAGGTGGCCCAGGCACAAGAATCACTTGAACCCAGGAGGTGGAGGTTTTGCAGTGAGCCGAGATCATGCCACTGCACTCCAACCTGGGCAACGGAGAGATTATGTCTCAAAAAAAAAAATTGTCTACTTACTAGGTTTTTCACTGGAAATTAACATTAAGAGCTAAAGTTGTAGTTAATATATGTGATTCAAACTACCAGATACAAGAGAAATAGTTCTGTATACAAACTGCATAAGAAAAGCAGCAAGTGTTTTTGGTAAGAAAAGTTATTTTTTTAAAATGAGGATGTTTTTGTTCAAGGAAAAGTAATTTTGTGTAGTTTAGCAGTTATTTAAAGGTTCTTTTAAATTAAATAAATAAAAAACAGAAAGATTGGTGAAAAAATAAGGGAAGAAAAGAAAAAAGATAAAACTGGATACAGAAAGTTGGAGGAAAAAAAGAGTGAAAAAATTGTGTAAGAGGTTATGAAAGGTTTATGGGAGCAGGTGTGCTGGCTCACATTTGTAATCTTAGCACTTTGGGAGGCCAAGGCAAGAGGATTGCTTGAGGACAGGAGTTCAAGACCACCCTGATAAACATAGCAAGACCTAGTCTCCTTTTTCTTTTCTTTTTTTTTTTCAAAATCACAATCAGAAGAAGAGACCTAGTCTCTATTCCAAAAAATAGATAAATAAAAGGCCATGGAAATCTTGTGTGGTCAAAGCTGATTGAGATTGCATGAATCTGTTTATAAGGTTTTATTCAGATTATCCTTTAGCATTAGTAATACACTGATACAAAGGTAGAAATTCTCTTTTTTCTTTTTGTCCTCAGGAATCCTTGTTCTGAGGTTTTCTTTTGAAGAATATTTTCCTGTAGTGTTAACAAGAAATAGAGTTGTTCACTTTTTGAGAAATTGTTAAAAAAAAAAAGGCGGGGGGAGGACTTTGCCTCATAATGTCATTATTTTTAGATTGTTTGAAAAACTGAGTCTCTTCCCTATCAAAGAGCATATTTTAAAAATCTTTTAATTATTACTTCTTATTTATTTATTTATTAAGAGACAGGCTCTTGCTCCTTCTCCCAGGCTGAAATGTAATGGCACAATCATAGTTCACCATAACCTCAAACCTCTGGGCTCAATCTTCCCATTTCAGGCTCCTGAGTAGCTAGGACATGAGCATGAACCATGTCCAGCTAATTTTTTTTTTATTTTTGTTAAAGACAGGATCTCACTGGGACTACAGGTGTGCGTCACCATACCTGGCTAATTTTTGTTTTGTTTTGTTTTGTTTTTAGCAGAGACAAGGGTTTACCATTTTGGCAGACTGGTCTCAAACTTCTAACCTCAGGTGATCTGCCTGCCTTGGCTTCCCAAAGTGCTGGGACTACAGGTGTGAGCCACTGCACCTGGCCAAAACAGACTCTTTATAACAATAAGATACCAACATGAGATGGTAAGCCCTGCAGGAAATTGAAGTATTTTACCCTAAAATATATTATTTATTTATTTATATTATTATTATTTTTACCAGCTAAACTGAATGTTTAATACATTTGTAGGAACAGAATAAATGTCGTAAGGATTAAAATCTTATACTTACATTAGACATATTTGTAAAAGATGTTTCATTTTTCAAAGAAGTTTCCCCCTTTTCCCTATCTTTCTTCTTTTATCTTCCTCAGGGCAATAAATAGTAATTACTACATTTATAGACAAGCTGCTCTACTGTGTTGGACAATAATTATTATATCTGTATGTTCCACATCATTATTACCTCCCGAAATTCTACCTTCACTTCCCAGCACAGTTTCACAATAAAACTGTACTCCACTCAAATTAGAAGAGCCCAAACAAATTACAGCAAACAGCAGTCAAATTCATATGAATGAATGATAGAAAACCAAAGATTTTAAAGTGCTGATTTAGTGACATAGTGTCTACTGGTACACATTTTCTATTTCATCATATTATTAAAACAACAGCAACAGAAATGAAAGCTACATTAATGAAAAAGGAACAGGAATGAGGTCATTAAATATAACTAACTACATTTTAAATACAGATATTATGTATTTCCTGATTAGTATTCGGTAAGTATCTAGACTTCTGTCCTGAATTCCCGTCTCAGGTAAAAAGGTCAAAGACAGTTACAAGGAGGATGCTTCATATTATCAGGTCCATTTTTTAAATGATGAGGTCCTGTAGGTAATTGCTTTAGTCTTTCTTTTTATCAAAGATCTCTGTTGGTCCTTTTGTTGGTAATCCATTCATGTCTGCACCCTTACAGTCTACTTTGCCTTCGTTTGTATCATTGGTTTCTTGTATAGCTTTTTTAGGCCATATACGACCAACGAAGGGGGAAATCAGAGGGTATATGTATGGCTCCAGGAATTTTTTGTAGATCCAGAGCAGAACTGGATTGACGATACAAGGAATGCACACCATTGTCCTGGGCTTGAGCTCCTCAACTGTTGATCCGCGACCGCGGAAGCGGAGCTGACAATGTCCGTACTTCCCGGGCGAGAGATGAGCCGCCGCCAAGCCAATTGGAGCCTCCAATGGAAATGACCTATTATTACTATTATTTTTTAAAGACAGGGTTTCACCATGTTGGTCAGGCTGGTCTTGAACTCCTGACCTCAGGTGATCTGCCCGCCTTGGCCTCCAAAGGGCTTGGATTACAGGAGTGAGCCACCATGCCTGGCCTATTTCTTTGACATATTTTGAAATGGTCCTGCAAAGCTTTCTTGTGGGGAAAATCTACATTCTGTAAAGAATCCCTGTCCCTTTCCATGTCTTTTTCCTGATCCAGGAGACAACTCACTGAAGAGTCTGGCATCTTTTTATGTCTAATAAGAAACCTTTGCAATCTATTAACCTTAGTCTCCACAACCCCCTATCTTAACTCACATACTCCCTTCTATTGACTTTAGGTTTTTAGATAAACTCTTTTTGAATCCACTTATGACCTGGAAGTCCCCACTTTGAGTTGTCCCATATTTCTAGACCAAACCAATGTATGTCTTAGATGTATTGATTGGTGTTTTATGTCTCCCTAAAATGTATAAAACCAAGCTGTAACCCAACTACCTTAGATACATGCTTTCAGGATCTCCTGGGGCTATGTCACTCATATGTGGCTCAGAATAAATCTCTTCAAATATTTTACAGAGTTTAACTCTTTTCATCGACAAAAGTCAACTTTAAAAGACCCTACATGGCCAGGTGCAGTGGCTCACACCTGTAATCCCAGCATTTTGGGAGGCTGAGGCAGGTGGATCACCTGAGGTCAAGAGATCGAGACCATCCTGGCTAAGATGGTGAAACTCCAACTCTACTAAAAACATAAAAATTAACTGGACACAGGGGTGGGTGCCTGTAATCCCAGCTATTCGAGAGGCTAAGGTATGAGAATTGCTTGAACCTGGGAGGCAGAGGTTGCAGTGAGCCAACATGGCACCACTGCACTCCAGCCTGGTGACAGAGAAAGACTCCATCTCAAAAAAAAAAAAAAAAAAAAAGGAGCCTAGATAGCCAATCACTATTCTTACTGCATTTTGTGCAAATAATCAGGCCAAGTATAATAGGAGTAAAACTTATTTTGCAAGTAAATTTTTCTTACTATAATTTATCTTTGGTAAAAAATATTGGACAGAAAAAAGTTATGTTTCAGAAGAAAATTATAGTACACCGGCTATTAGATTCTAGCCCTAGGCTGGGCACAGGGTTTCACACCTGTAATTCCAGCACTTTGGGAGGCTGAGGCAGGTGGATCAATTAAACCCAAGAGTTCAAGACCAGCCTGGGCAACATGGCAAAACTCTATCTCTACAAAAACAATTTTCTTTTTTTAATTAGCCAGGTGTCGTAGCATGCATCTGTATTCCCAGCTACTTGACAGACTGAGGTGGGAAGATCACCTGAACCCCAGGAGGTGGAGGCTGCAGTGAGCCACAACTATGCCACTGCACTCCAGCCTGGGCAATAGAGCAGAACCCTGTCTCAAAAAAAAAAAAAAAAAAAAAAAAAAAGATTCTAGCCCTACCATTGTTTTTTTTTTCTTTGTCTACAATTTGGACAAAATTCTGAATTCTTTCCTGGCTACAAGTTTCCAAACTAACATCTCCAAATTTTTCCTTCTTTTTTCTGACTTAAATTCACTGAAATTGTAATTACCTTTTCCCTGATGCCCTGCAAGCTGAGGCTTGTGTAAACAACCTTGTGACGTGTAAACAATAGAAAAATCTGTCCAATTGCCACTGCCTACTTCTACTTTAACTGAAGATGTTTCAATTCTAACATCTAGACACCTCAACTGACTGCCCTCCAGACTCTAAAAAAGCTGGTATATGGACTGTTCCACACATTAACCATTTTGTTTTCGGGCATGTTCAACAAACCAAGCATTATCCTTTGTTTTTCTTCTGTTTGAGAGCCTGTCTGCAACACCATCTCCTAAAATTGTTACTGGAAAGGGGTTCCAATTAAGACACCAAGAGAGGGTTCCTGAACCTCATGCAACAAAGAATTCAGGGTGAGCCTGTTACTGTAGGCAGCTAGTCAGACCCAAGCAGAGCAGGAGAGGCCCCCTCCCAACCAGGAATGTCAGGCGACCATCCCGTGATGGTCAGGCAGTTGTTAACTGTCTCTGTAAAATAATAATTCATCGCAAGTGATGCCAAAAAAGCTGCTGCCAGTCCCGCAACGGATATAAAAAACCTGAAGCTGGTGATCAGCAGCTCTCCAATAAGATCTCAGAAGTTGGGCAAGTAGGCTCAAGCATGCGCACTAAAAGCAAAATGGCGGAGTTTAACTGGTTTATGACCTAATTTGACTGCTAAGGGAAGAATGCTTCAAGTGAGCATGCGTACAACTCTAGTAAACACACTGCACATGCGGCTTCTCCCAGGTGCTAGCAGGCCACTGTGCACGTGGACAGCCCACCAAGGAAAGAACTGCAACCTACACCTCCCAAGTTCAAGCAATTCTCCTGCCTCGGGCTCTTGAGTAGCTGGGACTACAGGTGCACAACACCACGCCTGGCTACTTTTTGTATTTCTGTGGAGACGGGGTTTCTTCTATCTATTGGCTTCAGGTTTCTTCTGTCTGTTGGGAGGCTGCCTTTCCCAGGCACCAGCTGCGACCAATGTTGGCCAGGCCGGTCTTCAACTCCTGACTTCAAGTGATCGACCCACCTCGGCCTTCCAAAGTGCTGGGATTACAGGTGTCAGGCACTGCTCCCAGCCTTCTCCTCTAAAGCTTTTTAATAAACTTTCACTCCTGCTCTAAAACTTGCCCCAGGCTCTCCTTCTCCCTTTATGCCCCTCAATCAAATTCTTTCTTTTGAGGCGGCAAAAATTGAGGTTGCTACAGACCCATAAGGATTTGCCACCGGTAACAAGTCCATAAAGGAAAGTGAAAGCAAGTTTATCAGAGAAGAAAAGAAAAAAAGAATGGGCTGCTCCAGAGACAGAGCAGCCCTCAGAGCTACTGGTTGGCTATTTTTACGGTTATTTCTTGATTATATGCTAAACAAGGGGTTGATTATTCATGAGTTTTCTGGGAAAGGGGCAAGCAATTCCCAGAACTGAGGATTCCTCCCATTTTAGACATATAGGGTAATTTCTGGATGTTGCCATGGCATTTGTAAACAGTCATGGTGCTGGTGGGAGTGTCTTTGAGCATGCTAATGCATTACAGTTAGCATATAACAAGAGCAGTGAGGATGACCAGAGATCACCTTCCTCACCATCTTGTATTTGGTGGGTTTTGGCCAACTTCTTTACCACATACTGTTTTATTAGGATCCAGGTCATGAAGACCCTCCTGATAAAACAGGATGTGGTAAAGAAGTCCTGCCCAACAGTCCTCCTATTTCATCCTGTGACTAAAAATACCTAACCTCCTGGGAATGTGGCCCAGTGTTTCAGCCTTATTTTACCCAGCCCCTACTGAAGATGGAGTCACTCTTGTTCAAATACCTCTGACAAAATGAGACATACCTGTTTAATTGGACTGGCCTATTTCCAGAAATGGGAGCCTGGTTTATTTTTTATTTTTTTTATTTTTTAGGAAGGGAGGAAGGGAGGAAGGCAGGAAGGGAGGAAAGGAGGAAGGGAGGGAGGGGAGGGAGGGAGAGAAGGGAAGGAAGGAAATCAAGCAATGAGAGAGACATTGCTGACCTGGATCTAGAGGTCTACAAGTTGATTATTTTTTTTCTTTTTTTGAGAGAAGGAAAGAAAAAAAAGGAGTGAAGGAGAGGAAGAAAGAGGAAGAAAAAGAGGGAGAGAGAACGGAAATGTTGCTTTATTCTTAAAAAAATGGGTATTAATAATGGCCAATGTTTCATTTAAACCTATGAGTAGGTGTGATGTGGTATTGACAAGAATGTATATTTTGTGTATTTGAAGTGGAGAGCTCTATAAATATTTATTGTTTACTTGTTCCAGATCTGAGTTAGAGTCCTTGATATCCTTATTAATTTTCTGTCTCATTGAGTCTAAGTCTCTATGTATCTGGATGTTGGGATTGTTAGCTCTTGTTGTTGCATTGATCCTTTTACCACTATATCTTTGTTGCTTTAAAATCTATTTTATCAGATATGGGAATTGCAACTCCTGCTTTTTATTTATTTATTTATTTATTTTTGCTCTCCATTTGGTTAGTAAATCTTTCTCCATCCCTTTGTTTTGAGTCTTTGTGTCTGGATGTGAAATGGGTCTCGATGGATTAACTGGCTGTTTTATCCATTCGTTGATGTAAATTCTTCTTTATGTTGATGCTCTTTACTTTTTGGTATATTTTTAGAAAGGCTAATACTGGTTGTTTCTTTCTGTGTGTAATGCCTCTTTCAGAAGCTCTTGTAAAGCAGGTCTGATGGTAATAAAATCTCTGAGTACTTGCTTGTTCATAAAAGATTTTATTTTTCCTTCAGTTGTGAAGCTTAGTTTGGCTGGATATGAAATTCTGGGCTGAAAGTTCTGTTCTTTGAGGATGTTGAATATTGGCCCCCACTCTCTTCTGGCTTGTAGAGAGTTTCTGCTGAGAGATCTGCTATAAGTCTGATAGGCTTCCCTTTGTGGGTAACCTGACCTTTCTCTCTGGCTGCCCTTAGTATTTTCTCCTTCGTTTCAACCCTGGTGAATCTAATGATTATGTGCCTTGGGATTGCTCTTCTTGAGGAATATCTTTGTGGTGTTCTCTGTATTACCTGGGGTTGAATATTGTCCTGCTTTGCTAGGTTAGGAAAATTTTCCTGAATAATATCCTGAAGAATATTTACCAGCTTGGATTCATTCTCTCCGTCACATTCAGGTACACCTATCAAACATAAATTTGGTCTTTTCACATAGTCCCACATTTCTTGGAGACTTTGTTCATTCCTTTTTATCCTTTTTTCTCTAATCTTGTCTTCTCATTTTATTTCATTAAGTTGGACTTTGACCTCTGATATCCTTTCTTCTGCTTGAACAATTCGAGTGTTTAAACCTGTGCATACTTCTCAGAGTTCCTGTATTGTATTCTTCAGTTCCATTATTTCACTTATATTCCTCTCTAAGTTGTCTATTCTCATTAGGATTTCGTCAAACCTTTTTTCAAAGTTCTTAGTTTCTCTACATTGGGCTACAACATGTTCTTTTAACTCACAGAAGTTTCTTATTATCCATGTTCTGAAGTCTGATTCTGTTAATGGGATGCGCTTGTTCTCCATCAAGTCTTGTTCCCTTGTTGATGAGGAACTGTGATCCTCTTTAGAGGGAGAGGCATTCTGATTTTGAGTATTCTCAGCCTTTTTACACTGGTTTCTTCGCATCATTGTAAATTTATCCACCTGTCGTCTTTGTAATTACCAACTTTCAAATTAGGTCTCTGAGTGGACGTCCAAGTTGTTAATTCCCAGGGCCGAAATTTGAGCAACGCACTGCACAGGCCAAAACAGCGGCGTTAAGACTGATGGTGCTTTTCTGCCTGGGAATCTCCAGTCTGGCTTCCTTCTTGAGTTCGTAATAGGCGACTCTGCCTTCCAGAGCTCCAAACCTCGGTCAGAAGGGGAACCAGTCCCGTTTACTCTGCACCAAGAGCTGCCGCGCCAAGGTGCCGGCACAACCGCTGCACCAGCCACAAGAGTTGCACTGGTGACCCGTGTGGCTCCTCCAAACCTTGGTCAGAAGGGGAACCAGTCCCGTTTACTCTGCACCAAGAGCTGCCGCGCCAAGGTGCCGGCACAACCGCTGCACCGGCCACAAGAGTTGCACTGGTGACCCGTGTGGCTCCTCCAAACCTTGGTCAGAAGGGGAACCAGTCCCGTTTAGTCTGCACCAAGAGCTGCCATGCCGAGGTGCCGGCACAACCGCTGCACTGGCCACAAGAGTCGCGCTGGCAACTCATGGAGCTCCTCCACTGGGAATCTTCTGCGCCGTGAGTGACCAAAATTTGTCTGAAAGTGTGGCGTCCTCTCGTTCTCTGAGCTTTCACTGGGAGCTGCAATCCCGAGATGTTAGCGATTGGCCATCTTGGATCGTTCCCGAGAGACTGGTTTAATAGGATCCTTTGCCACTCTGTTACTCATTCAATTTTTCTCTTTATAGCCATCAACTCAGCTTTTGGTGTGTAAAACTACTAGGGATGTTTCAGAGAGGGAAATGTGGGGTTGCAAAAAATGATTCCCCAAAATATGATGTTTTGACATGCTGAGTGCTTTTGAAAATGGAAAGGTCTGAGAAAGAAGTCTTATAATCAAGGTCTCACTAACCTTGTTTTGTTCCTCCCCGTCCCAAGAGCAGCGTGAGCGTCTCTGGAATTTCCTTATCTGACCAAGAAACTCTTTCCAAAAGAAACTCAATCGCCTTGTATTTCTTATCCATTTCAGAAAAGAAGAATGAGGAATGCAACCACACCTACGTGGACTTTTTCACAAGATAATGCCTGCCTGCCTCTCAGGCTCATTCAAATTCGAAAGGGAATCATCTGTAAGTTAATTTGTCTCCCTCATCCATTTATTCTCTCTAATGATCACTTCCTGCACCTAAAAAGAATTGTCTACATTCCCCATCTTTTCCTTCACCTATGAAAAAGGTGGTACAAGCTTCTGTACCCTGCTGGTGTATGGGGTAATGATGATATAGGAGTTAAGAAGAAATCTCTTAGACAGATAGTAAGGGTATGGGAGTCTTCGATAAGGCTTTCCTTTTTAATGAAAAGCAGCCCCAAATCATTTTCTAAAGAGAAGCCTGTAAAGATGAGCTGCAGACATAGACAAGGAAGCTGGAAGCTTGCACAGGTGAATACCTGCAGGAACTAGGGACCAGACATGTTCAAGATGGCAGCTCCATCTTCCCTTCTTTTTGTCAGCCACATGTACTGTAAGGAGCAGACAAGATGGTGCCTGGTCAACTGGAAATCCCATTTGCATAATAAGATTAGGGTGAGGCAACCAGCCTCCCCCACCCACTATGTAAACGTCATACCAGATGGAACCAATCTGTGAGTCCTGTGTAAATCAGACACCACCTCCTCAAATTGGACTATAAAATCTGGCACATTCACCACCAGCCAGTCCTTTGCACTAGGAGACCCCTTTCTCTATTGAGAGAGCTGTTCCTCTTTCTCTTCTCTCTGCCTATTAAACCTCTGATCCTAAATTCATGTGTGTGTGTTCTAAATTTTCCTGGTGCACAACAGTAAACCCCAGGGTATATACCCCAGACAACTTAGCTGCTTCAATGAGACTCTGGTTCACACACACACACACACACACACACACATTAATAAATCTGTATGCCTTTTCTCCTATTAATTTGCCTTTTGTGTCTCGATTTTCAGCAAACTTTCAAAGAGCAAAGGGGAAGTTTCCCTTTTGCCCATATAGTTTTGGCACTATGAGCAGGATACCTCTCTGCTCTTCCGGAAACTGCAGTAAGGGAAACCCAAGACCTAACAAGTCTGAATAAAAGAGATTCTATCATAGTAAGAAGCCTCCTCTGCTCTAACCCTTATTAAAAAAAATAACCTGCTAGCTTGGGCAACATTGCAAAACTCCATCTCTACAAAATATACAAACATCACCCAGGCATGATGGTGTGTACCTGTAGTCCCAGGTACCGGGGAGGGTGAGGTGGGAGGATTGCTTGAGCTGGGAGGCAGAGGTTGCAGTTAGTTGAGATCATGCCACTGCACTCCAGTCTGGGTGACATAGCCAAACTCTGCCTTGAAGAGGGATTTGAGCCCAAATAAGTCCATTTACAATGGTCAGAGCCTAAAGTTTTTGTCAATGCCTAAAGTTTTTGTCAATCTCTAAAAAATTAAGAAATTAGCCTAAAGGGAAGAATTGTTAAATTTTTAAATTGTTAAAAGTTTTGCCTAAAACTGCCTCCTTATGTATTTTAAGTCTAACCTAAAGGTTTCTCCATAGATAGTGAACTGTAACCTAACTGGATATGTAAACAGACTGTAATCTACTCTTGTAACAAGTAATCTGGTCTCAGCCAATCACAAGCAGCTAACTGTTCAAAGTGTGTTCAAATAAGGCACATGTCAAGCTGTAACCAATCCAGCTATTTCTGTACCTCACTTCTGTTTTCTATATGTCACTTTCCTTTTTCTGTCCATAAATGTTATCTGACCATGTGGCTGCCCCAGTGTCAGTGTTACTCTGTACCTATTCTGGTTCTGGGGGCTGCCAGATTCATGAATTGTTCTCTGCACAATTAAACTCTGTTAAGTTTAATTTTTCCAAAGTTTTTCTTTTAACAACTTGTACCATCTGTATTTCTCATTCTGCCAGACAATCCAGGATGTTAAGATCATTATATTACAACATTTAGACATATTTAATCAGATGTATGTCTCTCCCAATACACAGCTAATCACCATAGACTAATGCAGGCCTCTTATTTATGACGGCTTCTATTGTTACTCAAATTTGGCCAATCTCTGAAGTCTTAGATGCACACTGACTTTCAACAACCCCCTTCCATGGGACATAACACTCCAGAAACAGATGTTTCCAGCTCTGAGGGAAACAGATAATAGCTCTGTGGCCAACCACCAGTCATTGATCAGTGATGCTTCCTCACCCCCTATCTGGATCAATAGGGCAGAAGTGTGAAATGTGATATACAAAATGGCATCACTCTGGTTCAGAGCTATAAAATGGTGTCAGGAAGCCATTTTAAGAAGGAATTTCTGCATAACCTGCAACCCAACCAAAAAAAAAAAAAGACAGAAACTCGCTTCAAACCTTTGAATTGGCCCAAATTGTAATGATCATGTTGGAAACACATGCTTGGCATAGCCAAAAGAAACCTGCAGTTAGAAATTTTCTCAGCAAGGCACCTTTACTTCTGCAAAAGGGTGCTGCTTGCACTGGTAACAATCACAAGAGCACAGACAACAAAGGAGGGAAGGAGTTTTTAAGCCTAAGGCAGTTCCTGTCTCTGTGTCCTTCCCCTATCAGCTGGAGTTGGACCGCATAATCTAAGCTGATCCCAACTGACTAACACTAGGCACCCCTGTGATTTGGAGATGCAGGGGAGGGGAAGGGTTGTTTACAGCTTAGGCAATGGTTAGAAAACTGAATCATTGGTCAGGGAATTGAGTTTTTGAAGAGGAACTTAGTTGTCCCAACAATCATAAATGTAAATATCCTGGAAAACAGCTTAAGTTCACCAGCACGCTGACTCCTGAACAGCAACAACAAATGAACTATGGACACACATACTAAGCCAGCCACCTCCGCCAATGAGAATTCTTTCAAAATAACTTGGGTAATCACTCTCAGCTTCCTTTTAAAAACCATTACTCCCTTCCCTCTCTTCAGAACAGTTTGGCTTGGAGCTGAATCTGTGTCTCCCAAATTGCAATTCCAAAGACCCCAACAAATGCCTGGCTTCACTGTTTTGCATTCTGGTCTTTTACCTCATCTTGGTTGACAAGACAAAACCAAAATGGAGTCACTCATGCTGAAGTTCCTCTCCTGTCTACCAAGCCAAAACTAAGCTGTTTATCAGACCTTCTGAGAAATAAGGAGAGTGATCATAGCCAAATCCCGAACAAGCCAGTTTTGGGGGGGTTTGCTGTTGGGTTTTTTTTCTTTTTCTTTTTTTTTTGTTTTTGAGACGGAGTTTCGCTCTTGTTACCCAGGCTGGAGTGCAATGGCGCAATCTCGGCTCACTGCAACCTCCGCCTCCTGGGTTCAGGCAATTCTCCTGCCTCAGCCTCCCGAGTAGCTGGGATTACAGGCATGCGCCACCATGCCCAGCTAACTTTTTGTATTTTTAGTAGAGATGGGGTTTCACCTTGATGACCAGGATGGTCTCGATCTCTTGACCTCGTGACCCACCCGCCTCGGCCTCCCAAAGTGCTGGGATTACAGGCGTGAGCCACTGCGCCCGGCTTGCTGTTGTTATCGTTGTTGTTTTGAGACAGGGTCTTGCTTTGTCACCCAGGCTGGGGTGCAGCAGTACCGTCTCAGCTCACTGAATCTTCAGCTTCCTGGGTTCAAGCGATCCTCCTGCTTCAGCCTGCTGAGTAGCTGGAACTATAGATGCACACCCCCATGCCTGGCTGATTCTTTTAAATTGTTTTGGACATGGGGTCTTACTATATTGCCCAGCCTGGTTGCCAGCTCCTATACTCAAGTGATCCACCTCAGCCTCCCAGAGTGCTGAGATTACACATGTGAGCTGCCCCTCCTGTCTAACAAGCCAGTTTTAAGTTGCATGATAAGGAAGTCCCCTCTGCTTTAACTTTTACAAGAAAAGTAACTTTGAAACAAACATGCTTTTTGTCTGTTTCTGCTTTCTTCAGTTCTTTTCTGTCTGTAAAAGCAGCCTCTACTCAGCTCATTGGAACATTCCTTCTATTTTATGGAAAGAGGTGTTGCCTGATTCTAGCTAGAATCACAAATCAAAGCCATTTAAGATCTTTAAATTCATTATAATTTTGTCTTTTGACAACATGAATATTACAATTTAATATATTTTATGTTAATTATGTAATGAGATAAGAGCAGAAAAAATTATGCACATGAACACTGTTCTGGTTACAACCTCGAAGCTCTATTTCACTGGCCCCTTGACTCTCTTACTTCCAGACCTGGCCTGAATTCTAAATGCATAACACCATCTAAAGGCTATACAGGCCATTTGTGACCGCTCACATCTGTAATCCCAGCACTTTGGGAGGCCAAAGCAGGTAGATCACTTGAGGCCAGGAATTCAAGACCAGCCTGGCCAGCATGGCAAAATCCTGTCTCTACTAAAAATACAAAAATTAGCTGGGTATGGTTGCAGGCACCTGTAGTCCCAGCTACTTGGGAGACTGAGGCACGAGAATCACTTCACCCTGGAGGCGGAGGTTGCAGTGAGCCGAGATTGCACCACTGCACTCCAGCCACGGGGACAGAGCAAGACTCTGTCTTTAAAAAAAAACTATAGAGATCTCACTCTTGCCTCCATTTCTAGCATCATCTAGCACCCGTCTCATCTTCATTCTTTGCACATTTCTCTGTACATCCAAAAGTGAGACTTTTGGATCCCTGAAATACCCAGACTGAGGCTTGTCTGAGGCCTCAAGGCCTCAATATATGCTGTTTCCTTGCCTGGAATGCTGCCCTCCTTTGGCCTCCCCTTCTTTTCCATATCATTTAGGTTTCAACTAATGTTTGAACTAATGTTTAGGTTTCAACCAATAAGTTTAAACCTAAACTTATCATTTAGTTTTCAACTGAAATATCACTTCCTCAGTGAAGTAATCCCTCACCTCCCAAACTAAATCTGGTTCTATCCCAGAGGAGCTACAGGAAAGCACCTCACAGGGTCTGAAATTCCTTGAAGCCATCAGGGAACTGTGGACTTTCCTTCTCAAAGAAAGTTGATGTCATTAATAGGCTGTAACCTTTGTAAATTGTTAAGAAAGACACACCCTTCTAAGAAGGAGCATGTGTAACATTGAAGAATTCCCATTATTAGCCAGGTGCAGTGGCTCATGCCTGTAATCCCAGCACTTTGAGAGACTGAGGTGGGTGGATCATTGTAAGTCAGGAGTTCGAGACTAGCTTGGCCAACATGATGAAACCCCATTTCTACTAAAAATACAAAAATTAGCCAAGCATGGTGGCGGGAGGATCGCTTGAGAATCGCTTGAACCTGGGAGGCAGAGTTTGCAGTGAGCTGAGATTACACCATTGCACTCTAGCCTGGGCAACAAGAACAAGACGCCACCTAAAAAACAAAGAAAAGAAAAGAAAGAAAAATCCCCATTATTTCTTCTTTTGGAAAGTGTCAGAAAAAAGAAAACAGTACACAGTGGCATATGCCTAGAATCCCAGCACGTTGGGAGGTCAAGGCGGAAGGATTGCTTGAGCCCAGGAGTTTGACAGCAACCTGGGCAATATTGCAAGACTCCATCTCTACAAATAATTTTTAAAAATTAACTGGGATAGCCAGGTGCAGTGGCTCATACCTGTAATCCCAGCCTACTTTGGGAGGCTAAGGTGGGTGGGTCACTCGAGGACAGGAGTTTGACACCAGCCTGGCCAACATGATGAAACCCCGTTTCTACTAAAAATACAAACATTAGCTAGGTGTGATGGGTACACCTGTGGTCCCAGCTACTCGGGAGGCTGAGGCATGAGAACTGTTTGAACCCAGGAGGCGGAGGTTGCAGTGAGCCGAGATAGCGCCACTGTACTCCAGCCTGGGTGACAAAGCAAGACTCTGTCTCTAAATAAATAAATTAATAAAATAAAAATTAGCTACATGTACTGATATGCCCCCTTGGTCCCAGCTACTCAGGAGACTGAGGCAGGAGGATCGCCTGAGCCCAGGAGGTCAACATTGCCATCAACCACGATCACATCACCATACTCCAGCCTGAATGACAGACTGAGACCCCCATCTCAAAACAAAGAAAGAGAGAGAAAGGGTCTGCTTGTGTCATTTTGTCCTTTGTCCACTTTTAATGAGGCTGTTTTTTGCTTGTAAATTTAAGTTCCTTATAGATTCTACATATTAGACCTTTGTGAGATTCCCAGTTTGAGAATACTTTCTCTCACTCTATAGGTTGTCTGTTTACTCTGTTAGTAGTTTCTTTTCCTGTGTAGAAGCTTTTTGGTTTAATTAGATCCCATCTGTCAATTTTTGTTTTTGTCGCAATTGCTTTTTGTGTCTTCATCATGAAATCTTTTCCAGGTCTTATGTCCAGAATGGTATTTCCTGGGTTATCTTCCAGGATTTTTATAGTTTTAAGGTATTTTGTTTTTGTTTTTCTATTTTTGAGATTCAAGCCTGGGCAACAGTCTTGCTCTGTCAGGTAGGGTAGAGTACAGTGGTGCAGTCTTCGCTCTGAAAACTACACCTCCTGGGTTCAAGCAATTCTTGTGCCTCAGCCACCAGAATAGCTGGGATTATAGGTGTGCACCACAATGCTTCGCTAATTTTTTTTATTTTTAATAGAGATGGTGTTTTACCACGTTGACCAGGCTGGTTGGTCTCAAACTCCTGGCCTCAAGTGATCGATCCACCTAGGCCTCCCAAAGTTCTGGGATTACAGGTGTGAGCCACTGCTCCTGGCCTTAGTTTTGGTTTTACATTTAAGTCTTTAATCCATGTTGAATTGATTTTTGTATATTTTTGTATATGAAATGAAAATGTCCAGTTTCAATCTTCTGCATATTGCTAGCCAGTTACCCTAGCACTATTTATTGACTAGGGAGTCTTTTCGCCATTGCTTGTTTTTATCAGCTTTGCTAAACATCAGACAATTGTAGGTGTGTGGCATTATTTCTGGGCACTCTATTCTCTTCCATTGGTTGGTATGTCTGTTTTTCTACCAGTATCATACTGTTTTGGTTACTATAGCCTTGTAATATAGTTTGAGGTCAAGGTAACATGATGCCTCCAGCTTTATTCTTTTTGCTTCGTATTGCCTTGGCTATTTAGGCTCTTTATGCCTGTGGCCAGCAAGCATATGAAATAATGTTCAACATCACTAATCATTAGAGAAACGCAAATCAAAACCACAATGACTTACCATCTCACAACAGCCAGAATGGCTATTACTAAAAAGTCACATTATTAAAAATAGCACATGCTGGCAAGGTTGCAGAGTAAAGGGAATGCTTAAACACTGCTGGTGGGATTATAAATTTGTTCAGCCATATGGAAAGCAGTGTGGTGATTCCTCAAAGAACTTGAAACAGAATTACCGTTTGGCCCAGCAATTTCATTCATTACTGGATATATGCCCAAAAGAATATTAATCACTCACTGGGCATGGTGGCTCACGCCTGTAATGCCAGCACTTTTGGAGGCTAAGGTGGGCAGATCACCTGAGGTTAGGAGTTTGAGACCAGCTTGACCAATATGGTGAAACCCTGTCTTTAAAATACACACACACACACACACACACACACATAAAAAAAGAATATTAATCACTCTACCATAAAGACACATACACACATATGTTCACAATAACAAAGACATGTAATCAATCTAAATGCCCATGAATGGTAGCCTGGATAAAGAAAATATGGTACATATACAAGATGGAATACTATGCAATTATGAAAAAGAATGAGATAATGTATTTTGCAGCAACATGGATGGAGCTGGAGGCCATTAGCCTAACCAAATGAATGCAGGAACAGAAAACAAAATATCACATGTTCTCACTTATAGTGAGAGCTAAACACCAAAAACACATGAAAACAAAGAGGGGAACAACAGACACTGGGGCCTACTTGAGGGTTGAAGATGGGAGGAAGGAGAGGATCAGAAAAAATACCAATAAAAACCCTCAAAAAACTGAGTATAGAAGGAACATGCCTCAACATAATAAAAGCCATATATGACCGACCCCTAGCTAGTATCATACAATATGGGGAAAAGCTGAAAACCTTTTCTCTAAGCTCAGTAACATAACAAGGTTGCCCACTTTCACCACTGTTACTCAACATGGTACTAAAAGCCCTAGCTAGAGCAATCAGACAAGAGAAAGAAATAAAGGGCATCCAAATTGGAAAGGAAGAAGCCAAATTATTGTTGTTAGCAGATGATGTGATCTTATATTTTAAAAAACCTAAACACTCCACCAAAAAACTGTTAGAACTAACAAATTCAGTAAAGTTGCAGGATACAGAATCAACATACAAAAATTAGTAGGATTTCTATATACCAACGGTGAATACTTGGAAAAAGAATTAAGAAAGTCATCCCATTTAAGTAGCTATAAATAAAATTAAATACCTAGGAATTAATTTAACCAAAGAAGTGAAAGCTCTCTATGATGAAAACTGTAAAACACTGATCAAAGAAACTGAAGATGATACCCAAAAAAATGGAAAGATAGTCCACATTCATGGATTGAAAGAATCAATACTATTAAAATATCTATACTAGTGAAGGCAATCTATAGATTCAGTGCAATCCTATCAAAATACTAATGACATTCTTCACAGAAATAGGAAAAACTTTTTTTTGTTTGAGACAAGTTCTCATTCTGACATCCTCACATCTCAGCTTCCTGAGTAGTTGGAATTACAGGCACATACCACCATACCTGGCTAATTTTTGTATTCTTTGTAGAGATGAGGTTTTGCCATATTGCTCAGGCTAGTCTAGAGCTCCTGGACTCAAGCATCCTCCAGCTTGGCCTCCCAAAGGCTGGGATTTCAGGAGTGAGCCACTGTACCCAGCCAAAAATTCTCCTACCCTTAAGAAGCTCATAATATATAGGAGGCCCACAGGTTACTAAATCACCATATGATACAGAAGTGCCACAATAGAGTATAAAAGAGACACTATAGACATAGTAGTTAAAATAGCAATGAAATGTTTTCCTCTACTAAAATCAATAAATATAAAAATAAAATAGTAGTAGTCAATCCCACCATGTTCCATCCTTACAGAATCCCAGTTTGCATGCCTCATCCATGCAATCAGGTGACTCAAGAGAGGCTGACTTCATTCTCAATTCCCAAAGCTGATTCCACACAAACCAAAGTTCACATGACCTAAAAATGACCCAAAGAGACTTAAAATGAAACCTTATTTCATCATTAGGGAGGCATTCTCCCCGTCTTGTGAAGAACATAACAAGGAAGCAGGCTGCCCCAGCTTGTGATCTGAGGGATCGCTGAGGACAATGGCAGACGGTGGAAAGTGGGAGGGAGATGTGAGATAGCCACAGTAAAATGGGCTAGAAACCAAATTATAGCCAAATTCCACCTGGACCCTGACCTACTTCTGAGACTTTTTGCAGCAGCAATTACCATACATTCCTTATTGTTTAAGACAATGTGAATTAACAGCTGTTACTGCACCCAAAACTATCCTACAGATCAAATAAAGGTATTATAAAACTGTGTAATAAGATGGGGAAATGTGTATGCCTAGACTACTGGTCCCTAAAAAATAGAATACAAGATAATATACACATAATGGCAATAGCAATATTAAAAAGTCTGAGAATAGTTACAAACATACTAACAGTAGTTGCATTTGGATAGATATACTCCTGAGGTCTGTTTTTCTGAGTCTTCCAATTTTCTGAAATCAATATATTTTACTACTATAATAAAAAATCATTTGCAGATGTTTTGGAAACCAAGGAATGTACACCTAACTCTATCTACAGAAGTTGGGATGGACCGTATGAGGAAGCGAATGTGAGCTAAGGCCATAACAAGTATCATTCGCTAGAGGAGAAAGAAAGAGGTAATTCTAGGTCACACTTACTTCCTTTGTTAGGTCTGGGCACATTAACTGCCATTATCCTTGGTTTCCTCATTTGCAAACTGGGGATATTACCTACTTCACAGAGATTTTGTTGGAATTTTAAATTATTATGATTATCATTTATGTTGTTATATCAAAGGCAAAGAGTCGTGAAAGTGTCTGGCTCAGGGAGTTTTGAATATTTTATATGTCTGAAGCATGGGACACACAGCCAGGATGGGGCTGGAAAGCTAGGCAGCAGCTAGGTCATGAAGACGTTGGATGAGAGATGGAGATTCAAATAAGCTTGAAGCCCACTCTGTGTGGGAAAGTCAGATTCAGAGGTCACCTGAAACTATTTTTGGATTCCGCCTCAGCCCACTGCAGTCACTTAGAAATGTGCTTGGACTGTTTCTCACTGTCTCCAATACCAAGCTGAAAAGAGGCACGAAGGTAAATATCTCTTCCCCTGAGAAAACTGATTCGTAATTTGCACCAGCAGGCTGCCATGGAGACGGACCGCTACGCACTTCTCAGAGCAATTGGGAGAGGCCGTTCTGAATGCTGCCGAATCCCGTGTTTTGTTCTGCAGAGTGAAGAAACTGGTAGCTTTTGCCTGTGGTGTTTGCGGCATCTTTTCACCCCCTACCCTTTTGAAAATCATGTTACAAGCCGAGGAACTGGTTTTTTCTCCTATAGGCCTGTGTCTCCCTCTTTTTGAGACACAGACCTTTTTGAGAGTATAATGAAAGCTTCCTCTCCTGAGAAATAGATATATTCATGTAATTCATCTACACCACTTTAGAGAGTTCCTTTGTCCCTATGTTTGCTAAACATCTCTTGACCATAAGTTAAGACCTCTCTTGGAGAAAAGATGTATCATTAAAGGGTTTTGTTTTGTTTTGTTTTGTTTGGGACGGAGTTTCGCTCTTGTTACCCAGGCTGAAGTGCAATGGCGTAATCTCGGCTCACCGCAACCTCCGCCTCCTGGGTTCAGGCAATTCTCCTGCCTCAGCCTCCTGAGTAGCTGGGATTACAGGCACGCGCCACCATGCCCAGCTAATTTTTTTTTGTATTTTTATTAGAGACGGGATTTCACCATGTTGACCAGGATGGTCTCGATCTCTTGACTTCGTGATCCACCCGCCTCGGCCTCCCAAAGTGCTGGGATTACAGGCGTGAGCCACCGTGCCCGGCTAAAGGGTTTTAAGAAAGGAAGCAGCCAATCACTGCAGTTGTGTGGTAGAAGCTGGATTTGGAAGCAGTGGGAGTGAAGCCAAGACTAAAGGCAAGAATACCACCCATGAGGACACAGCAAAAGTCTGAAGGTCAAATTGACAAGAGTCTGAACTAAAGCAGCATACGTTGAAAAGGAGAGGTGACTTTTTTTTTTTTTTAAAGAGGGGGTTTCACCATGATGGCCAGGCTGGCTTTGAACTCCTGGCCTCAGGTGATCCACCCACCTCGGCCTCCCAAAGTGCTAGGATTACAGGCTTGAGCCACCACCCCCAGCCAAGAGGTGACTATTGAAGATACAGTTTACACAGGTGTTTGTAATGGAGGGTGTGGAGGGTGGGAGAAGAGAGCCTGAGGGAGAGGATGGGGTTTGGGAATCCTCCTTTATCTTCACCTATCACGGTGGTGGCTGTGGACAGTAGAGTAAGCTCTAAGCTGCAGAATGTGTAGGTCTCTACCATGCCAACTCCCCACAAGTAAAGCAACCACTAATTTCTAATCTGGCAAATGTGTATGATCAATAATGTTAATGAGAATAATCACAGAATAAATTTATTAAAAGTTCTAGTCCTCTGGAAGTCCCCTCCGTAATAAATCTCCTGTGTCAACTTTTAAAAATCAAGACTAGGAACAATTTCTCAGAAAGTACCATTTATATTACAACAGAAATCTATTCTTTTCATAATATTAGTTGAAGTAGCCACCTAGAAACAATCAATTTTAGCAGAACATAGAGTACTTCTACAAAGATTTATCACCGATTTGGATTTCCTTTTTTAACTTAATGACTCACCAGCAAAAACCTTTAGAATTGGAAGGCTCTGTACTTTGTGAGATTGCCAAAGTTAGTCACTGATTTATTCCCCTAAGTGTAATTTGAAAGAACCTGCTGTGTAAATCTGAATACTGTAAACCATGCACCATGAATCTTTTAAAATCTAGTTTTCCTATTAATTGTGCCTAGATGCTTAAGAGTAGAATCACAAATTGGGAGGGGAAGGGGAGCCCTCTGGGACCTTTTCGGTGCTAAACTTTTGTGCTACAATTTCTACTGAACCTGCATTTATAGGATCAGCCCCAGATTCAGCAAGAATGGAAGCAGAGAACTGGATCCTTAGACAGACAGACCTAACTTTTCAACCACAATAAAGACTGATGTCTTTAGGTTGGATAAACACTCCTGAAGTTATTGAGTTTATCACAGAAAAGGGACACTGAAAAGTCATTCCTGAGTTAAATATATAATAACCACGAACCATAAGTGTCTGAAGGAAATGTGCATAGTACTGTGATCACATCTTTTTTCCTGTGATAATGTCTACCAGTGGGATTGACTTCTACCAATGGGACTGACCTGGTCTATCCCACTGGGAGACATTTCTTTTCCAGACAGGGTCTGGCTCTGGCACCCAGGCTGGAGTGAAATCTACTCAGGCTGGATTTCAGCTCACTGCAGCCTCCAACTCCAGGGTTCAATCGATCCCCCCCCGCCTGTCAGCCTCCCAAGTAGCTGGGATTGCCAGTGTATGCCACCATGCCTGACTAGTTTTGTTTGTTTTGTAGAGACAGGGTCTTGCCATGTTGCCCAGACTGGTCTTGAACTCCTGGACTCAAGAGATTCTCCTGCCTTGACCTCCCAAAGTGCTGGGATTACAGGTATGAGCCACTGGGCCCAGCCAGAGGAGTTTTCTTGAAGTGACTCTTTCCCTTATCTAATACTGCACAACAAACTACCCTAAAACATAATAGCTCAAAATAACAACCTTATTATTTATTTATTTATTTTTTGAGACGGAGTTTCACTGTTGTTACCCGGACTGGAGTGCAATGGCACGATCTCAGCTCACTGCAACCTCCGCCTCCTGGGTTCAGGCAATTCTCCTGCCTCAGCCTCCCGAGTAGCTGGGACTACAGGTGCGTGCTACCATGCCCAGCTAATTTTTTGTATTTTTAGTAGAGACGGGGTTTCACCTTGTTGACCAGGATGGTCTCGATTTCTTGATCTCGTGATCCACCCGCCTCAGCCTCCAAGAGGCTCAAGCCTTCCAAGAACACAAAAACAGAAGCTGCCAGCTTAGGTTTAGGCTTGGAACTGACACAGCATTATATCTGCTGAATTCCTCTGGTTAAAGTAGTCAAGGACCAACCCAGAGTCCAGAAGACGGGACTGTCACTCCAGGGCATTAACACTGGAAGATGAAATTCATCAGGGGCCACCTTGTAACAAGTTATTAGAGTGACCTTAGGCAGCAATCTGGAAGATGAGTAAGAGTTAACTGGGCAAAGAGGGACGAAGAACGTTTCAGGCAGGGCAGTAGTATATGCAAAGCAGTTATGGCAGAGGAGCCCCATGTGTCTCTAAGAGACTGAAAGAAAGCCAAGTTCGCTGGAGCCCAGAGATCAAGGGAACAGTGGCTACAGGCAGGAAGGGGCCAGACCATGTGGTGCCACTGCATTCTTTAGGAGACTTCCGGAGGCAAGTGGTAGAATCCCAATGCAAACTGACTCAAGCAAAAATATAAACAAACCAAAAAAAGATAAACAAAAATAGAGAAAGAGAATTTATACACTTATGTTTCTGGAAAGTCCAGGGCTCAGTTGGTTCACTTCAGGTATCACTGCATTCAGGCTTCAAATGACATCTCCAGGAATTTGTCTCCCTCCATCTCTCTCTCTCTTTTTTTTCTTTTACTTGAGACAAAGTCTCACTCTGTTGCCCAGGCTGGAGTGCGGTGGTGGCACAATCTCGGCTCACTGCAACCTCCGCCTCCTGGTTCAAGTGATTCTCCTGCCTCAGCCTCCAGAGTAGCCAGGATTACAGATCCCCACCACCACGCCCAGCTAATTTCTGTAATTTTTAGTAGAGACAGGATTTCGCCATGTTGGCCAGGCTGGTCTCGAACTCCTGACCTCAGGTAATCCACCCACCTCAGCCTCCCAGAGTGCTGGGATTACAGGCATGAGTCACTGTACCCGGCCTCTATTTTATATTTTGAAAATTTTTTTGAGGCAGGGTCTTACTCTGTTTCCTAGGCTGGAGTAGAGTGTGCAATCATAGCCCACTGCAGCCTCTAACTCCTGGGCTCAGATGAGCCACCTCAGCCTCTTAAATAATTGGGACTATAGGTGCGTGCCACCATACCAGGCTAATATTTTATTTTTTATAGAGACAGGGTCTCACTATGCTGCGGCGCCTGGTTGCAACTCCCGAGCTCAGACAATCCTCCCACTTCGGCCTCCCAAAGCACTGGGATTACAGGCATTGAACCACCACACCTAGCAGTCTCACCTTTCTAAGATCCTTCAGTGATTCCCCGTGGTCCACAGGACCCTCTTCTCCCATGGAGTCCATCACCATCCTGTCCTCGTCTCCCTTCCCACCTTTTCTACCTCCCTTCTTCCCCTCACTTCCTTGCCCCAGTTACACCTGAAGGCTCTGTGCTCTTTCCAGCTCCTAAGCCTTTTATTTATTTATTTTATTATTATTATTTTTTTAATAGAGACGGGGTTTCACCATGTTGGCCAAGATGGTCTTGATCTCTTGACATGTGGTCCACCTGCCTTGGCCTCCCAAAGTGCTGGGATTACAGGCGTGAGCCACCACGCCCAGCAAGGCCTTTTAATATTCTGTTTCCTTGTCCTGGTATGCCCTTCTTCAATTTTCCTTTTATCAGTACAGAATAGTAATTGGGTCAGATCTTCATTCAAATCCTGACTCCTCTGCTTGCTAGCCAGGATGTCAGGCAAGTTACTTAACCTCTTGAGCTTTATTTTCCTCATCTGGAAAATGGAGATAATAACCACCACAATTTCTGAGACTTAGTGTAAAACTTGTTTCATTTTTGAGACAGGGTCTCACTCTGTTGCCCAGGGTGGAGTGCCATGGCACCATCACAGTTCACTGCAGCCTCAGTCTCCCCAGGCTCAGGTGATCCTCCCACCTCAGCCTCCTGAGTAGCTGGGACTACAGGCATGTACCACCACACCTGGCTAATTTTTGTACTTTTTTCAGACTGGATTTCGCCATGTTGCCCAGGGTGGTCTTGAACTCCTAGGCTCAAGGGATCCTCCCGCCTTGGCCTCCCAAAGTGCTGGGGTTACAGGCATGAGCCACCATGCCCTGCCTAGAGTAAAGATTGAATGAGAAAGCAAATGTAAAATCCTTAGTGAAATGTCTGGCACACAGCAAGGCCCACTTAATGCCAGCTATTGCTGCATTCAAAATTCAAGAGTCATGTTAAGTCCTTGCTCTCTTGACTTCTATGGTTGGCTGAATGATGATTCCCCAAAGATGTCCACATCCTCATTCCTGAAGCCTGTTGACATGTTAATTTACATGGTAAAGGGTCTTTGCAGATGTGCTTAACACTCGTAAGACAGGTGAGTAGCCAGGATTATCAAGGTGGGTCTGATGTAATCATAAGGGGTCCTTGTCAAAGGCAGGCAGGAAGGGAGAGGAGGAGGTGATGTGATGATGGAAGCAGAGGTGGGAGTGATGCAGCCACGTGCCAAAGAAGGCCAGTCATTTCTAGAAGCTGGGAGGAAGTTTCTCCTCTGGAGCCTTCAGAAGGGACTGGCCCTGTCAGTGCACTGATTTTAGCCCTTAAGACTCATTTCTAACTTCTGACCTCCAGAACTATAAGAGAATAAATCTGTGTTGAATGAAGCCACAAAATGTGAGGTAATCTTTTACAGCAGTAATAGAAATGAATATAACTTCCTAAAGATGGGTTGAGCCCATAGCATTTACATGCAGATAGACAAGTTTTCATTCATTTTTCTTGCCCATTAGGTGTTTGTTTGTTTGTTTCTTGGAGATGGAATCTGGCTCTGGCATGATCTCAGTTCACTGCAACCTCTGCCTCCCGGGTTCAAGCGATTCTTCTGCCTCAGCCTCCTAAGTAGCTGGGACTACAGGTGAGCATCACCACACCTGGCTAATTTTTGTGCTTTTAGTAGAGACGGGGTTTCACCCGTCTATTGGCCAGGCTTGTCTCAAACTCCTGACCTCGTGATTCACCTGCCTTGGCCTCACAAAGTGCTGGGATTACAGGTGTGAGCCACTGGGCCCAGCCATATTTAATTTTTAATTATTATTATTATTTTTTTAGTACAGAATCATCTGCTCTAAAAATGTTTTAATATTTTATTTAAATAAAAAAATATATTTTTTGAGGCAGGGTCTTACTGTCACCCGGCTGGAGTGAAGTGGCATAATCACAGCTCATTGCACCCAGTGAACTGCCAAGAGCTGCTACTTCTATTAATATTTGAAACCACCTTGACCTCTTGGGCTCAAGGGAGCTTTCTGCCTCAGCCTCCTAAGTAGTTGGGACTATAGGCATGCACCACCACACCTGGCTAATTTTTGTATTTTTTGTAGAGACAAGGTCTAGCCATGTTGCTCAGACTGGTTTTGAACTCTGGGGCTCAAATGGTTCTCGGCCTTGGCCTCCCAAAGTTTGGATATTACAGATGTGAGCCACCATGCCCAGCCAGGGTATGTTTAAAGAGCTGATGCCCTTTTTTGGTTTTTAAACCCCCTCTTTTTTTTTTTGAGATAGGGTCTCCCTCTAGACCCCAGGCTAGAGTACAGTGTCATGATTTTAGCTCACGGCAACCTCTGCTTCCCAGGTTCAAGCAAACCTCCTGCCTCAGCCTCCTGAATAGCTGGGAATACAGGCACTGCCACCATGTCTGACTAATTTTTGTATTTTTTTGTAGAGACTGGGTCTCACTATGGTACACAGGCTGGTCTCGAATTCCTGAGCTCAAGTGATTCCCCCACCTGGGCCTCTCAAAGCATTGGGATTACAGATATGAGCTACCATGTTCCACCAAGAGCTGCTGCTTTTTATTAATATTTGAAACCACCTTTTTTTTTTTTTAATTTCATGGATCATAGGAAACAATAAAACCACCTCCTGGTTCCACTTCCACGTACCTAGCACAATGCCTGGCACCTTCTCAAACTCCAATAAATACTGGATGAAGGAAAGTTTATGATCTTAACTGTGATTTCTGTTTGGATTCAGTTCATGTAAAAATGGAGGAACCAGCCATGAATTCTCAAATAAGTTTCAGTCTGTGGCAAGCACAGGTCAGGGAGAGGCATCAGGGGAAACCACTGAAAACATGTCTGGAGATCATTGTAAAAAAAAGAGAAGTGCCTATAACTGAAAGAGTGCCTGGCCCCAGAATATTTTGTATAATGAAAATGTTATAGGGTTCTGGTCTCTGCTTCTTGAAGATAAAATGGAGCTAGAAAAGATCCAGAGGACACTAAAAATAATTAAGGGCAGAAGTAATCATGTAAAATTTTTTAAAAGCCATTGCAAAAAAGTTCATCTTAAACTCATGAAGAATAGCATGATTTTCTCAAATCCTGAAAAAAATTAAAAAAAGGCCACATTCCTTGAAGCCTGACCTTCCAACAAAAATAAAAGGAAGTAGCTCTGTGAATAGCATGTGCTAAAATATACAATCCATTACTCCAAGAAGCAGTGGCTACAGAAAGTAAACACTACCATACAGGGCTGGGCTCAGGGTCAAGCCAGCCAGGCAGTTGCCGAAGGTGCCTCGCAGAGCCTCAAATAAATTATAATGTGGTTGGTGTTTGTTAACTTACATTTCCACATACGGCTTCTTACAAGTTTACATCTATAAAATTTCCCTGGCACTGTTGAAACAAATGATGACTGTGAGTAGAATTTAAAGAAAAGAGGCCAGGCATGGTAGCTCATGCCTGTAATCCCAGCACTGTAGCAGGCTGAGGTGGGAGGATCACCTGAGGTCAGGAGTTCAAAACCAGCCTGGTCAACATGGTGAAACCCCATCTCTACTAAAAGTAAAAAAATTGGCTGGGCATGGTGGCTCATGCCTGTAATCCAAGTGCTTTGGAGGCCAAGACGGGCGGATCACCTGAGGTCAGGAGTTCAAGACCAGCCTGACCAACATGATGAAACCCCATCTTAAAAAAAAAAAAAGTACAAAAATTAGTTGAGCATGGTGGCTGCTACTCAGGAGGCTGAGGCAAGAGAATCACTTGAATCCAGGAGGCAGAGCCAAGATTATGCCATTGTACTGCAGCCTGGAAGACAAGAGTGAAACTCTGTCTCAAAAAAAAAAAAAAAAAGAATTTAAAGAAAGGAAAAACAAAAATCTCATCATGTGAATTCATCTGGTTTGGAATATTTCTGAATTGTACACATAAGCAGTCGCATCAACTAAAGCTCTGAATTTAACAATGAATGGATGGCCTTGGTGCTGTTTACCAGAAGCAGCAAGTGATTTATTAACTGCATTTTAATCTCTTTAATATACCTAACAAAAAGTTATCTTGTTCCAAACAAAATCACAAAAGGAAGCTAGACGGAGAACAAGAACCACAGAGAAATGGGAATTATTGTGCAAGGTTTTTTTTCAGATCATTAAACTTTACATTGGTTAGTGGAAGAGAACAAATTAATCTTAAGTTAATAATTGTATTGACAATATGTCATTTAATACACTTTGCATTTGGAAATGTTGAACAACTACTTAAGATTTCTTAAATATTCTTATATTGAGAGGCTCCCATTCTGGGGAACTGATTTTCTCAAAAAAATATATATATATATTTATTATTATTATTATTTGGATGGAGACTCACTCTGCTGACCAGGCTAGAGTACAGTGGCGCAATCTCAGCTCACTGCAACCTCCACCTCCTGGGTTCAAGCAATTCTCCTGCCTCAGCCACCCAAGTAGCTGTGACTACAGGTGCATGCCACCATGCCTTGCTGATTTTTCGTATTTTTAGTAGAGATGGGGTTTCACCGTGTTAGCCAGGATGGTCTCGATCTCCTGATCTCGTGATCTACCCACCTCAGCCTCCCAAAGTGCTGGGATTACAGGCGTGAGCAACCGAACCCAGCTAATTATATGTTAATTATTTAAGAAAGAGTTGTGAAAGTCTATACCAAGTTATAAATGGCAATTTAGACTTTAGTTTTAAGATAGCTTGGGATAATAATTCTTGAGCAAGCCAGCCCACCAGGATATGAATAAAGGAGCTAGAGGGAGTCGGGGCGTAGTGGCTCATGCCTGTAATCCAAGCACTTTGGAGGCCAAGGCAGGCAGATCACCTGAGGTTGGGAGTTCAAGACCAGCCTGACCAACATGGTGAAACCCTGTCTTTAAAAAAAAAAGAGCTAGAGGGTAAGAAAGTTCTTTAAAACTTGTCACTGCTGTAATCATGTACTATGGGCCGTGGACTGCTCCAGCCTTCCTGCCCCTGATGTGTTGATTATGAAATTGCTTGGCTATCCAGATCTAGAAACAGAAAACCTGTGTCCTGTTCTATTAAAATGACCAGTCCTGGCATGCCTGGTGTGTGTGAGCCACCTAGCTCCCATCGTGCCTGATTCACCAGAAGGGCACATCTCTCATGCCAGGTGTTCTGCAGGCCTCTGATGCAAGGACTAGAGCCTAACCTTGAATTCTGGCGGACAGGCTGTCAAAATCGGCTCCACCAACCCTTGCACTGGCCTCTGACTCTCAGCAGACCTCTTCCCCTGAAACTGACCCTATTTCTAATCATCTCTTATGGATTAGGTCCTCCTATTTCAATACCTTGGAGAACCCCAAAGAAAGCAGAAAAACAGGGTTCCTGGCTCCAAGTTGTCTCCTTCATCCTCTGGATGTAGAGGCTTGCATTATCAGCTTGAGTCATCCTGCTCACCTTTTCAGATTGCTCCAACCAGTGCCTTGCTCTTACCCACCCTTCCCATTCCCAGCCCATGGGGATTTCCAACATGGTATTCACCCGGGGTTTTGCTTTTTACTATAAATTTTATATTATGTATAAACAATATATATATGCACATACTACTTTTAGTATATTTTAAATATATTACCATACACACATGTATCTGCAACCTCAAAAATTGCACTATGAGTTATATTATGATTATGGGTTAAACTACATTTTGACCTAGTTTAAATGAAAGAGTGATTGCCTCTCATTCATTAACCCATAGTAAAATTTTCAAAAGACAAAGCATGTGGTAGGAATGTGAAATGGTTCAGTCACTTGCGAAAACAGTTTGGTAGTTAGTTCCTCATGAACATGACCAAGCAATTTCACTCCTAAGTATGCTCAGAAGAAACAAGAACATGCATCTACACAAAATCTTGTACACAAATGTTCACAGCAGCATTATTCATAATAGCCAAAAATGGAAATATCCCAAATGTTCATTAATTGATAAATGGACAAATAAAATGTGGTAAACTCCTACAATGGAATGTTATATCCATACAATATAATGTATAGCCATCCAGTGGCATTCATACATCCATACAGAGGAATGTTATATAAAAAAGAATAAAGTGCTAATATATGCAACAACATAGTTGAACCTTGAAAACATTATGCTAAGTGAACAAAACCAGCTACAAAAAAAACACCTATTAGGTGGGTGTATAATCCCTTCCAAGATGCAGGGATTACAGGTGTGCAGTGGTTATGTACCTGTAATCCCTGCAACTAGGAAAGCCAAGGTGGAAAGATACCTTGAGTCCAGGCTGGGCAACATAGAAGAACTTGCATCTCTAAAACAGACAAACTTTTAAAACCCTGCATACTGTATGATTCTACTTATACGAAATTTCCAGGAAAAAAATCTGTAGAGACAGAGTTTCATCATTGTCTGAGGGGTGGGAGTGATGAATGAGAAGTAACTGTTTCTTTTGGGAGTGATGAAAATGTTCTAAAATTAGATTGTCGTGATGGATGCACACCTTGGTGAATATACTAAAAACATCTGAGTTGCATAGTTTAAATGAATAAATTATATACTATGTGAATTATATATCAACAAAGCTGTTTAATAAAAAGATGTTTTGTTTATTCCTAACAAAAATTGTGTTTATGCTTTGCTTTTACATGGCATTTAAAGAATATATTTTTAAAAAGCTTGGGACAAGCGTTGTGGCTCATGCCTGTAATTCCAGAACTTTGGGAGGCGAAGGTGGGCGGATTGCCCGAGGTCAGGAGTTTGAGACCAGCCTGGGCAACATGGTGAAACTCCCTTTCTACTAAAAAAAGAAAACAACAACAAAAAATTAGCTGGGTGCGGTGACGCCTGCCTGTAATCCCAGTTACTAGGGAGGCTGAGCCTGGAGAATTGCTTGAACCCAGAAGGCAGAAGCTGCAGTGAGCCAAGATGGTGCCGCCTTACTCCAGTCTGGGCGACACAGTGAGACTCTGTCTCAAAAAAAAAAAAAGTTTGATTACACAGAAATGATTCATGCTCTTTATTTTAAAACGCAACATGTTACAGATAAAGTTAAATTCTCCTTTGATAAGTAAGTCTAATCCTTTACCCTCCCCCCAAAATGAACAGCTCTTCATTCTTCCAGGCTGTTTCCTTATAGAAATATTTATTTTTTGTTTTTATGTATGAATTTTATTTTTCATTTTTATTTTATCATACTGTTTTTAAATCCATATCTTGCTTTTTTCACACTTGAGAGCTTTCCATGCCAGTCCATATAGATATTGTCCGACCTACCCTCTGCGGGAAGACTGAGCTCGTTCGGAAAAAACCGGACCGCAGGCTAGAGGAAATTCCTTAAGTTCAGGCTTTATTGAGAGGAAAGAGCCTCCGGGCGGACCAGCCGGGACGAAAAGGAAAAATGGCCGCGCTGCTCAGAGGGGCAGGGTTGTTTTATAGGGGGCTGAAGGGCTGGGGGGTGGGGAAGCCAAAAGCCGAGGTGGTGGGCAACTGTTGGTCAGTTTGAACTGCTGGGCGGGAAGCTGGGTGGCGGGAGGGCTAGGGCCGGTATGTAAAGTGAGAGATAAGGGAGCCTCTTTGTGGGGGAGGGAAAGAGAGAGAGATTTTGCGGTAGGGGCAGAGTTTTCCAAACATTCCCGACTCCTTAAAGAAAAGAAAAAGAGGGGGTCAGGGGCGTCGGTTGTCTCTCTGGCTACTTCCTGCTGACAAGGGTCGACGGGGGGTTCTGAAGAGGTTTCTTTTCCTAAGGAGCCTGGAGGTTTGGGGAGAGGTCTGTTTCTTGCACTCGTTCAGGGTGGGGTTGGAGCAGCATCTGGTGGATGGTGACTCCAGTCAGTTCTTGAAAGAGCCGCTGTAGGAACTGGAGAAAGCAAGGAGCAATAAGTAAGATTAGGCAAACGGCTATTAGGGGCCCAAGCAATGGTGACAAGAGGGTATACATAGAGGAAGACCACCACGCTGTGGCTTCAGCCGAGAACTTCTGACTCTACAGGTTAGTTTTGAGTTTCTGGAGGCTCTCGATTCGGGTTTCTACTAGGCCGGATTCATTGATGTAGTAACAGCACTCTTCTTGTAGGAAGATACAGGTCCCTCCTCGTTCAGCAGTGAGCAGGTCCAGGGCTCTTCGGTTCTGCAAGGCAACTTGGGCAACTGAGGTGATCTGTCATTGGAGTGATGCTAAAGACTCAGTAGAGTCATTAATAGCCGCTTGGAGTTGTGAGGTCAGTCGGGCTATGGCCAGGTGAGAGTGGACTAGTGCCCCTCCTCCTAATCCTGCTGCAAGTGCTGAACCAGCAAGGGAGACTCCAACGGCAATGGGTAGGAAGGCAGCTCATCGGGTGCGGCGATGGGGAGTTTGCAGCATCTGGAATTCGGCTGGGGAATATATAGTGAGTCGAGGGACTAGGGTTACTGGGAGGCATAAAAGAGATGAGGAAAGGCCAATGTAGAGAGTTTTTGTTAAGGTCTTGTTACACCCGAAAAACGTTCCTCGTGGGGCTGTTATATTAGTGGTTACCCGTATAGTTCTGTTACAGCTAGGGACGTTTCGGCCTAGGGAATGTGGGGTTTGGTAGGGGATACTTGGGGTCCCATCGATTCCCATGACTAAGACCTGGGAAGGGGTGAGATGGCCAGAATAAGAAGGAAGTGCGGAGTAGGTAGCCCCCATGTCTTGTGACCCTAGGCTCGGCGAGGGTAACCGGAGTCGGAAAGCCAGGGCCCCGCTAGTCATCTAGCAGCCCTAGTAGACTGGGGAACGGAGCTCCCTCGGAGGTCGGCTCCTGGCAAGCAGGCTCCTCCCTACTGAGGGTGACCGCCGGCTGCGTAACGCCAGTGTGTCTGTTTTGAGGAACCGGCACCCTGGGGAAGCTGGGGCAGTCTGACTTCCAGTGTCCCGGGAGCCGACAGATAGGGCAAGGCTTAGTTGGTGGCCATGGTTGTGGACAGGCTCGGGACCAGTGTCCTTCCTTTCCACATTTGAAACATGCCCCTGGAGGGGCATGGGTTTCGGCCTTGGGCTTCTGGTTCCCTGCCGGCCTTAGAGCCGCCACTAGGGCTTGGGTCTGGAGGGCAGCCTTCTGCTTCATGCGAGTTTGGCGGGCAGCCTCAGCCGCATCTTCCCTGGCATTGAATACTTTAAAG